CCACAGTAGGAAGCCCGTGGATCTGGGTCCTGGGGTGCCTCCTCATGCATTTCGGCACAGGTGTGTGTGTGGAGGGGTGTGTATGAGGTGTGTTCTGACTCTCAGCTGTGATTTCCTACACAACTGTAATGTGCGGTGGGCCTCTTATAGTTCTGTATACCATGCTAAGTGTGTGTGTTTTTCGGATGGACGTAACCCAGGGCTTGATTAAATCAAGTAACACTTGTGAGAACTGAGCGGCTCATAAGGAGAGGAAAGATATGGGTAAAACGGAAATGATTGGCTTCCTAGAGTGTCTTCAGGTGTTGAGGGAACAGGAGAGGGGAGGGTTCCAGATGAACACTCTGTAACTGAACTGGTCCACCCGTGTGGACAGCCCAGCCCAAGAGACAGAATCCATTCCCTTCACTCAAGAGGTCTAAGCAAATTTCCATTCACACTGTGGAGCCTCATTCTACCTTAACTCCATTCTCTGAGTCTGGCCCCTGTTCCAGGAGCCCTGAGCCCCTCCCATGAGCACCACCTCTACCTCCAGAAGCATAGACATGCTATAGGTACTGATAAAGGAGTGGGACTCCAAGATCCAGGCCCTGACCCACATCCTGGTGCCACCTCTAGGAGTTCTGACCACACCCTCTGAGCACTGGCTCCACCTCTAAGAGCCCTGAACACACTAGCTGCACCTTTAGGAACCTTGGCCTCCTCCCATCCCCCCACTTCCACCCACCACTGTCTCTACCTTTAGGAGCCCTGGCCACCCACCCCCACCTCAACACTGGCTCCGCCTGGAGAAGTCCTGGCCACACCTCCTGAGCACTGGCTCCTTGGGAAACCCCAGCAGTGCCCTCAGGGTGCTTTTCTTTCTTGACACAGAAGCTCCCTCAGACTTCCTCCCTTGGACCCAGCCTCACCTTCTGGTCCTGCCCTGCCCCCAGACCTTCTCCCTCTCCCTCAGAATGGACCGACCATTTGCATACTCATCCTTTATTTTTGCCCAACCCTCTCCCTAGGAAATGCGATCCTGCCCTTAGGAGCCTTAGACAATCTCACGGAAAGCCTCATAGTACACGGTGAAAAGTGCCTGCCACACTCCCAGCCCTGGCAGGTTGCCATCATGAGGACTAACAAAAAAATTGCTTGCAGTGCCGTCTTGGTGCATCCTCAGTGGGTGCTCTCCGCTGCTCACTGTCACTGGAGGTAAGTGCACGACTGAGCTGGGCTGGGGCCTCATCCAGGCGGAGCTTCAGCCTGTGGGCGTGGTTTGAATAAAAATGAGACCTCAGACCTTACTCACAAGTTCCAGAGTCCCCAGGCTTCCTGCACTTCTGACCAACTGGTTATAAATGCACAGGTTTCTACCACTCCTTCTGGAGTCAGGAATTAGAGTGGATACTTGTGTTAGGGTAAGACCCCGACCCAAAATGGGTGTCGCAAAGTGAAGGATGGATGGGCAGAGAGAATAAATCCTCCAAGAGTTAAAAGGAGGCCTCAAGGTAAGGTGTTTGGATGCTCTAAACAGCTTTTTCATGGCTGGGAAGAAGAGAGATGGGAGGTGATGATTAGATTGGGATTGGGAATGGTGATAGGATTAGACAGGAGATGGGGACTGGAAATAGGGCTGTATTTCTGAGGGGGAATGTGTTTCATAATAGAAGCACATGTAAAACTGGAGAGAAATGAGCTAGAAAGAAAACAGTCTGAATGTAATACAATTTTTACACTACCTGGAATTCAGGCAGACTACTGGTTGAGACCCCCCCACTAGAACATCCCCTCAGATCTTAGTCATAAGTTTCAGAGGCCCCAGGACACCTGTACCTTTGACCAACTGGTTACAAATGCTAAGGTTTCTACCACTCCTCAGGCTTCATAGTTCACTAAAACAACTCACGGACATCAGGGAAGTGACTATAAATATAAGTGCTGTACTTGTATTTACAATTTTATTATAATCGTTGGGTTAGGGAAGAGAGATGAGAATATGGTTGCCATGGTATTCATTAGCCCTTCCCTCTCAGCTCCTACACCATCCAGCTGGGTCGGCACAACCTCTATGCAAAGCATGAACCAGGAAGTCGGACTATCAGGGCAGACTTCTCAGTGAGGCACCCACGGTTCACTGAAAACCCAAAACGCCATGACATCATGCTCATCAAGTTGAAGGAACCAGTCAGAGAATCTGCCTCCATCTGTACCATCACCATGGCTTCCCAGTGCACAGCCCCTGGAACCACCTGTGTCACCTCTGGCTGGGGTCAACTGGCAAGCGGTGAGTTTTCCTCTGTCTGTTCTCTGATCCCATTTTCTCCCAGCCATTGATTCTAAATCTGGGGTCTGTTTCCTAGGCTACTTTCCCAGAGTGCTTCACTGTGCAAATGTCATTGTGGAAACAGAGGAGCAATGCAAAGCCTTCTATCCTGCCTCATACCCAGGCATTCTCTGTGCTGGCAACAGAAACACGGGAGCGAATGGCTGCAAGGTGAGTTTCTGAGAGAGGCAGTGGCCTGGAATTTCAGGAGAGAATGGGGATGTAAGAGTGAGGAAGTAGAGAGAAAAAAAGGAATTGAGGAAAAGCTGAGATTCTAAGGAAAGAAACACCAAAAGGGACAGTTGGAAATAGAAACACACAAAGAAACAGAGAGAAATGAGATAGAGGCTGGATATGAGTTCATGCAATTCTGACACTATCTATGGGATTGCTACAAGCTTCAAAGGTTGAGGACACAGGCTTATTGCTAGAACATCCCACAGAACTCAGCAAAGTGCAATATTGATGATTACAGTTTTATTATAAAGGATGCAAATCAGGACCAGGCACTGAAGAGACACACAGGGTGAAGTCTGCGAGGGTCCCCAAAAGC